ATGTTCTCTATTGTCACTGATGGTTTAATTAAGAACCTTTAACATCCATGGAATCTTTCCATTGCACAAAACATTCTTTATAGTGGAAAAAGTTTCTTTAGATTTTTAACATGTTCTTCAAACTAAGACAAAAATGGTTATTTTAAGCACCGATCACGGAAAGGTTCTTCTTTATATTTTAAGAGCGTACGTCTAGTGCCTCCAGTGGCTCTGAAATTACACACTTCACCTTTCATTTGGAATTGGAAATAAGTTCTTCTGACAGTGCACTTGTTCCTGTGAGGATGTGGTGCAGTTCCAATTAATATTAAACATGGCATGAGTCATAACGGACCTAATATTGATCAAATTACGCTCCTCTCTTGGATGACAGGGGTTTGCGAAATGTGTCTAACGGTGCCAGACTATCCGGAAAACACTGATTGAATTAAATCCTGCTTTTGCGGGACGAGTAATCTAGCAAACAAAGCTATCTCATCCGCCCTTGAGCCAGCAATTCATCTGCCATCCTCAGCACCTCAGCGTGTGTTATTGAGCTTCTCTAGCCTTCATTCAGCGCACATACACCTAATAGCAGAAGTTACAGAAAGTCCACTGCTCAGACAGTGACACCTGCATTATTTCCTAGAAATTAGGTGCAGAGACTCAAAACCGAGGAGGTAAGATAATACTTGGAGAAAGTACAGTATATATACAATACAATACAATACAATTTTATTTATATAGCACAGTTTAAAAACAACCGGAGTTGACCAAAGTACTTTACGACACTCTACCAACAATAGGCAAATTAAAACAGTTGTAAAACAAAATAACTCATTAAATATACACAGAATATACACAAGCTGTAATAATGTGTGGCGTTCCTGAGAACAAAGTCAAAGACAGTTTGTCATGGGAACGCCAACGAAAATAAATAGGTCTTTAGAGTGGATTTAAAAACAGACAAGGTATATATAATAATATATTTCATTAGTTTTTTTTTAAAGAATATTTTGTGTGTGTGCGTGTGCGTGTGTGTGTGTGCATGTGCGTGTGTGTGTGTGTGTGTGTTTCAAAGAAGTCGCTTGAAACAAGCAACAAAAATATCTGCCAGTGGGGTAAGAAAAATAATCTTGACTCAAAGGGAAAACAAGACTATTTTTCTTGTCCCATTGCCAGAAATGTTTCTCCTTTAAAGCAAAAACTAAAAAATGTTTTCAGAAAACAAGGCTTAATATCAATGACTTAAGTAATTTTGCTTCTCAAGTAAATATATCTAGATTAAACAGTCTTTGCATATTTATACTGGAAAACAAGGCAAAAATACTAAGAAAGAAAATATTTTTTTGTAGTGAAGGCTGCATTTAAAAATACAGTAAAATGTGTGAAATAGTATTACAATAGTATTACAATGCGAATATCTGTCTAATGTATTCCTATGATCAAAGCTGAACTTCCAGCATCATTACTCCAGTCTTCATTAGGGGTGATCAAATAAATTGATTTGTGGCTCAATTATGCGATTTTCTGAACGCATCGCGATTTTCTCTCGAATCGATTCTGAACTTAATTTTTAACAGCAGATGGCACTGCGTGCTTTAAAAAACAGACATACTCTGCTTGCTTCCAGTTCATTACACACACCACTTGAACCTAAAGTAATCATTCACAAAGTTTGAAAAGGTTGAAGCGAATTCCAAGAGTGTTCACAGTAGGCTGTTTACATTAATCTCGCATCATAAGTACATGTAACTACTTGCATTACTCAGCCGAACACACAAGCATTTAAAAACTTAAACCTTTAAACTGCGGTTAAAAACTTGCCTAGAGCGCCATCTACTGTTAAAAAAATTAAGCTCAGAATCGCAATGCATTCAGAAAATCGCAGAATCGATCCACGAATCGATTTATCGTCCCACCCCTAGTCTTCAGTGTCACGCGATCCTTCAGAAATCATTCTAATATGCTGATTTGCTGAAACATTTCTGAGTATTATCAATGTTGAAAACAGTTGTGATTTTATAAAAACATTTTTATATACATTAAATTGCATGGTTTGTAGTTCTGTGATTTGATTGGACAATGACAGACAGAATAGGTCAGCTACTGGCTGGCATCATTAATAACCTGTCACTCAATTAAAACCCAATTGCCCTTTGTTATTTCTGAGCTAATTTAGCTTTTTAATGCATTTGACATCTCTTGCTAAAGAGGTTTTGTGAGGGGTTTCATTCATCCAGGACATCATATTTGCCATTTGACGATATAGTGCCACTCATTGTTAATGTGGGTGGCAAAACATCTTCAAACAATGCGAGGTACAGTAGGTCAAGTCAGAACAAATGAATTCTACCTGATAAATAGCATGCATTAAATGAATGAAGTCAAGCAGCCGGATCCAATAAGCGCCAGAGCAAACTCAACAACCAGTGTTCGCAGCTCATGCTTAAATATAGTATCACGCGTTCAGTCAGTGATTACAGCTAGAGATGAGAAAAAGTGTCTCAGGCAAGTCATCTGTTAAATCAGCGAGCAGATCACGGAAACACAGGCCCTCCTCTGGCTTTGGCTGCGGTGTAATCAGGGATTTAGAGCTCCTAATTGCTCCTTTGGAGTCATTGTGCTGGATAAATGAATTAGATTTTAAATCCCTCATGCCAGCAGGGCATATTCATCTGATCCTTCTGTGTTTATGCCACAAAGTGACAGGAAAAACACACCTAAACCAAGACACCACGTTACGCAGGTCTGAAGAACATTTAGATAATTACCCCTCATTTCCTTATTATTCCTTCCTTATTATTTGAATCAACAATGAACTGATTTCAATTGAATGGTGTCTGTTTACTGTTGTCTTATTGGAGCTGCCGCACAGCAGAATTGACTTCTGTTTGCATCATTGAATTTTTTCCCCACTGTGAAGTTGTTTTGAAACAGTCTGTGTTGTATAAAATGCTTTAGAAATAAAGGTGACTTGAGTTTTTCTCAAGGCCACACAAATGCCTTTATTCAGATCTTAACAAGACTAAAGGCTGGAAAAACAACATTGGTCTCATGCTGGGAAAGACATGTGCAGTGTATTTGGGTAGTTGGCACATTTATTGTTCTTTAAAAACTAAATTTTAGCATGCATATCAGCACCCTATTGCTTAAGGGTCGATGTTATTGAGTTATAATTTTTTTGTCCCATATCTGATTTATAATCAGCCGTTATTGGATATGTATTGTGCATCCTCATTTACCCTGTGTTTATATAACAATTTTATATTTACCATCATCTAATATTCATATTTAAAAACACAAATCATAATATTATAATCTTTAAAAAAAAAAATGTCATACTGGTCATCTCTAAATAGTGTTATGAGTAAACTCACTTGTATTTGTGTGATCTATTTAGGCTTTGTTAAACAAAATAATGTTGAGTTTTAATATCAGTTTTAATACCATTTATCGTTAGCGTCCATAACGTAAAAATAAATATTGCCTTGTCTGTATTGGTCAGAATTTTGTCTTAGGCCTTATAAATGGACACAATTTCCTGGAAGGTTTTTAAACACCGTTTTGCCTGTGCTATTTAATAAAAAAAATAAATAATAATAATAATAATAATAATAATGAGTCCAGCAGTGTGAATTTTTTAAGGAAAAATATTCAGTGTAGACACTCAGTTACTCAGTTAAGGAAATTAATTAATTAATTAATTAAATGGATTATACAGTATGTATATATATATATACAGTATATATATATATATATATAGAGAGAGAGAGAGTAACTGGCTATTTTGTAATATCTGGAATTCATTTTCTACTCAAAAGGATCCATTCATACTTGAAAACTATCCACTGTCATTGTGTATTGTGTACTAAGTCTTGAGGTCTCTGTGTTCGGTTGCGTATCTCATTAATGATATTATGTAGACATGTTGTTGTACAAAGCGTAACAGGCTATCTGCTGTCTTGTTTATTTAAAAGTCTTGTTTATTCAAGAGAACCCCACGCTTTAATTTCAGGGCAGGTGATTTGGTTCAAAAACATGTTTTGTTATGCTGGCTGAAAGTCTCTTCACATCCCGATAGCAATCACTAAGTGGTCTAAATATATCTATATCATCTGTGGAAGGCGTAGGACCATAGATTGTCCAGTCGTATTCCTTGGTCTGAGGCGCTATTATTGTAATATTATGCACATTGTACTGTAATGTTTTCTCAGCGGTGAATGAGACGAGCTAATCTGACAGCGTTGACGCTGGTTATCCTCTGCTCTGCTGTATGTGTTTGGAGGAGGCGTGGCTTTGGAGAGTGATTTGCAGGGAGGGTGGGATCTTATGCGTCTTATGCTAGCAAAGACTGAGTAAAACGTATTTGAGTATTGCAGAGTAAACTTCAGATGAGTAAATAGAAGTTACTCAACAACTCTAACTGACCGAGTTCAATTTACTTATACTCTTTGTTAATTTTACATAGATTTTACTTAATTACATACTTAATATTAGTTAAAAGTAGTGCTATCAAACGATTAATCGCATCCAAAAAAAAAATTTTTGTTTACATAATATATGTGTGTGTACTGTGTATATTTATTATGCATGTATAAACACACACACACACACATATATATGTATATATATATTTTTTTTTTTTTTTGAGTGCATGCAGATAAATTTGATGTGCTGCATCTATCCAACTTTTAATATATCGCTGAGTGAGTCATAAAAGCCCATGCTGGGAATCACAAAAATAATTGTAGTTAATTAATTTCATATATTGACACTCGCTTCGAATATCATGTTGGACAACCTTCAAGTCAAAAGGTTCTAAACTCAATTCCATTTTTGTCCAAACAGTTTAATAAAATGAATTATGATCCTAGGATCATTGCAGCGCTCTGCTTGGTTTCTCCTGAGTTGACCAAAGTAAAATTAAACTGACCTGCAAGGTGATACTAATGCATCTTTGATGATCGAGGAACGCAAACTGATTATTGCATCACTCTCTCTCTCTTTCTCTGATGCAGGTGGTGGGTCAGATCGACAAACTCACATCAGATTTTGACCTGGAGCCCGACGACTGGACGGTGGCGACGGCGAGCAGCACGTCGAGCAGCGAGCGTGGCTTGGGTGAGGCTTTCAGACTGGACTTCCTCAGCCAGGACATGCTCTCCGACGGCTGGGACTTCTGCAACTTCCTAGAGGCCTCCAACCGGAAAGCACAGCGAGAGGAGACGGATGAGGGCCAAGGGAGGCCGTCATCGTCCACCGCCAGCGTCTACTCGCAGATGAACGGGGGCCTCCCCGTCCCCAACGGGCCCCTAATCATCACCCCGGACTCCTCCAGCGAAGAGGCATCCAGCTCCACGCACAGCCAGAAAACCTCCCGCACATCCGGCACCAGAGAACGCGTCCGCTTCAGCGACAAGATCCTCTACCATGCCTTGTGCTGCGACGACGACGAAGACGCTCCAGCGAGGAGGCATCCAGCTCCACGCACAGCCAGAAAACCAGAGAACGCGTGCGCTTTAGCGACAAGATCCTCTACCACGCTTTGTGCTGCGACGACGATGAAGACGAGGAGGAGGACGGTGGCGCCGAGGAGGACGATAAAGGGGACTGTGGGACCCCAGACACAGACAGCGAGCCCAGTCCTCTGGCCTGTTCGCCCGCTGAACACCCGCCGGGTGTCTATAACTGTCGAGAAACGGCGTCTGCGGGGCCCTCTCCTGTGAAGATGCCAGGGATGGGCTCTCACACTTTACCCAGGAAAGGTCTTCTCAACCCCAAAAAACTGCTACGGAACAGCAGCACACAGACGGTTTCGGATAAGAGCACTCAAACTGTACTGCCCTACGTCCCCGCCAAACAGAAAAACAAGGACCTCTGAGAGAACAGCCGAATTTACATAAACAAAACACCAACGGACTGAGACAGGATTACAAAGAACTGTATACTATTTAATATTAAATACATAGATAATAGATAAAAAAAAAAAAAAAAAAAAAAAAAAAAAAAACAATAAATGAATTACTAAATAAATTATATATGGGAAAATTTCAAGACTTGCCAAAGTCATTTTATGACTCTTGCACGCATTAAGAAGAGATATTCTCGTCCTTTCATATATTATCAGAGCTTGGTTTCCTTTCAGCGTTATTCTGTTTAGGGTTTATTGATATCGAGGTCTTCATAAAGTGTTCATATGAAAACTGCTGAAGTTAGGAAAGGTTCAAACGCTGTTTTGCACACAAGACAAGACCAACACTAATGAGTTTTGTTTCTAAAAGAAGTCTCTTCTGCTCACCAAGGCTGTGTTTATTTGCTCAAAAATACAGTAAAACCAATAATATGTTGCAAAATATTACTAACATTTAAAATAACTGTTTTCAATTGTAATATATTTGAAAATGTAATTTATTCCTGTGATGCAAAGTTGATTTTTTTTTTTTTTTTTGAATGAATGAATGAATGAATGAATGAATGAATGAATGAATGAATGAATGAATGAATGAATGAATGAATGAATGAATGAATGAATGAATGAATGAATGAATGAATGAATGAATGAATGAATGAATGAATGAATGAATGAATGAACGAATCTTTCTATTCATCAAATAATCCTTAAAAAATAAATAAAATATAAAAAAATTGTATCATTGCATAAAACATATGAAGAAGCCAGTATGACTTTAGAATCATTGAGATACTATAATATTTTGAATCATTTATCATTATTTTAGTGCATCAAGTTAAACTAACTGAAAATGAGAAATGTTGTTTATATTCCAGCAATTAGCTGAAATAAAACAAATGTTTATTTATTTATTTATTTATTTATTTCAGTTAACGTTTAACTGAACATTAACTTTAACAACCTTGGAAGCAGCACAGCTGTTTTCAACATTGATAATAATCAGAAATGTTTCTCGAGCAGCAAATCAGCATATTAGCATGATTTCTGAAGATCATGTGACACTGAAGACTGGAGTAATGATGCTGAAAATACAGTTTTGATCACAGAAATAAATTACAGTTTAACAGCTATTCACATAGAAAACAGATATTTTAAATTGTAATAATATTTCAAAATTTGTACTGTTTTGTCATCAAATAAACACAGCCGTGGTGAGCAGAAAGAGACTTCTTTCAGAAACATTACACAATCTTAGTCTCTACATGCGGTAGTCAGGTAAATCTGCTTTGATTTTTCACAGTATTTGAGGATTGCACCCTCAGTTCAGAACCTTTGGTTGGGTGGAATGAGGGAAGGGATAAAAAGACGTATTTTGAAGTGCCTGCTTTCCTCTCTGACATTTACACTGCTTCTCTTGCCTCTCTCCTCTCGGCGGGGAGGTCGAGGTCGTTGGGGGTGACAGCTTGAATCTCGGTGCACAAAGCTGAGATGTGAAAGGTTATGTCTCGCTATTCTTGGGCCCAGTGGGGATTGTGAACTCAATAGTGCTGTGTTTTATTCAAAGGGATGTTGCCAATAGCGCAGCGGATCGATCCTCAGCGAGGGGCTTCCGTGCTGAGTCTTCGTCTCGCGCCTTTGAGGGTCTTAAACAAAAACCTGCCTCTCTGCTGGAGCTCATGGTATTTACTCCACAGCGCAGAAACAATCCTGTGAGTGGGAGGAATGCAGAAAAGAGAGCGAAATTATACATTAGAGAAAATGGAAAGGCAAATAAAGGGCAAAGTAGCCCAGCAAAATGAGTGTTTGAAGACAGATTGTTCTTAATTACCCCCTCGGCGTAATCATTAACTCAGATTCCTCTCCCGCGGGAGCCGAGACGGTCAGACCAATAGATCCTGAATGACCAGCTCGCTCCGCAAACCTCCATCTAATGGGCTTTCAAACATATTTCTTCCACGTTCAAGACGAGACGTTTATCTTGAGAAATCTGATGGTGGGTCATTAGGTCAGATTGTGGATTCAAATCAAGCACGCTGATGGATGACGTTCAGTGTAAACTCAAGAGGATGTGTTATAGTCTATCATGCTCAAATGTCCCTCTGTGACACCTAAAAACCGGTACGGGTCACCAAAGGAAGATTTCTGCAAACGAGACGTTATTAAGATACCTGCTATTCCACAGTTTGCAATAATGAATGAAAACCAGCATCTAAAACTCACAATCTCACAGGAATTGCTCAGCTATTTCTACATCTTAAAACATTATTATAAATGTCTTGTACAGAAATTTACCATGGTAACACAAGCTTCCATCAAATGCCAATACACTGATTAGCAGGCCTATAAAACAACAGTAACTTGGCAGTAAACTCTGAAATTAATGCATGTTAAATAAAATTTAAATTTAAATTACATTTAGAAAAAAAATAATAATAATTTAGCAGATGCTTTTATCCAAAGCGACTTACAAAGGAGGACAACAGAAGCAATCAAAATCAACAAAAGAGCAATGATATGCAAGTGCTATAACAAGTCCACAGTTAGCTTAACACAGCACACGTAGCAAGGTTTTTTTTTTTTTATAAATAAAATAATAATAAATTAATTTAAAAACAAATAGATAGAATACAAAAAGATTAGAGAAGCTAGTGTTAGTTTTTTTATTTTTATAAATATAATTAAAATAGAGAGTGCTTGAGTTAGAGGATCAAATAAAGATGGAAGAGATGTGTTTTTAGCCGTTTCTTGAAGATGGTTAAGGACTCAGCTGC